AACTTGGGATTTGCTGATGAATGCTTGATTCTTGTCAAGCAAATCTGGGTCAATTTCGTCAGCAGTGGGTCTTTGCTCAAGGAGTTTAAGGATAACTTCCTGAATTTGATCGATACTAGATCTGGTTTTTGTTTCCCCATACAAATAACGGTAATTATACAGCTGCTTGGTATCCCGAATAGTGGTTGACTGTAATGGAGAATCAAGTTAATTCAGATACTTCAATTTTTCGTCTTCAATAACCCTTGGGGCACGAACATCTGTATGAACCGTTTCTTTCACTTCTTTGTTGAGAGAGTGCTCTCTTGAAATAAAGGATTTGGCGTGCGGACGTGTTGTATTTCCATGCGCTGTTGCGACTACGAGGACGGCATTCCCGGTGTTAAAATAGTAATTCAAAGTAATCGTGGAACATTTCAAAGTATATGACTTCAAATTCTTTAGACGACTATAAGATTAATTATATTCTGCTATTAGCATAATAAATATGACATATCTTGTAAATTCCGTCTGATACATTTTCATCGTATTCTTATGCGTTGCTCTTTTTCTAACTACAGCGTACAAGAGCTCCTTGCCTACGATCTGCCGAACCCAATTTCGAGCATCGCGGACGTCGCAGGTACCACCAACGATAATGCCATTGTCGTCTTTGTTCACCGAGACCTCTGTCCGTAACCTTAACTTCATAAAACCTAGTTTGCTATTTTTCTCATAGTACCCAAGTGTTTCATAAGTTTCGATATCAAACGGATGCTTTACTTTTGCAAGTTTTTGGCCGACAACGAAGGTTGAGGTTGTAGAAATGCTTGTTGGCTTGATTTCTGCCTTTCGGTCTGCAGGAATATCCTTTTTTAAACAGATCTGGAATATTTTTTTTATGTCAGGGCTGGAATGACTGTAAATTGGAAGCCTTTTATCACTCCTGCAATGGACAAGATTAGGCAAATCAATGTCAAATGAGTAAGACGTATTATCATTTTCACTGTTCTCATGAGTTGACTGATTCGGGATCACTGGAAATGTGATAATTTTCTTCGCTGTTTCCTCTTTTTATTGTTGGAAAAAAGATTTCATCGTCCTCCGTGAGATCCACAGTTTAGTTCTCTCGCGCTTTTTTCTTCTTTTCGTCGTTTCCCGATAAATTAGTTTTTCTTTTGGACATCTAGAAAAGCGGGTCATTTTTGTTATGTAAGTGCTCTTGTTTCTGCTTTTTTCTAGTCAGATGCCTTAAAACAGTTACGCATGCAGTTAAATATTAGTTTTGGATTGTCATCTTGATTACTGATGATTGACATTCTTGCATGACCCTTACCATGACCAAATTAGTTAGTAGATAATAACCTTGTCACTTGAAGTACACTAGCTCACCGGCTGATAATATTTTCATATTGTGTTCAACTCCATTCAATAATTGTTACGTATTATGCTAGCCTCATCGAGTAATTGTATAAAGTATTATAGGAAAAATTAAACCTTGAAATAACCTATTGGAATAAACTGTCCAAAATTAAAGGCGTGTGCATGTGAATCTAGAATTCTCCATTACAATTTACATAAACAACGTGTCATATATTAAGGTAATGTTTCGCGAATATTTCACTCAATTTAAAATAAAACATTTGCTAAAAAAGGATTTGGTGAGATCCTGAGGGGAATTCCCCTGTCTCCCGGTTCTCCCATTCCACTGTTCCCTGTTCCCCGGAAAAAGTCTTGTGCAGCCCTACTTCGATTACTGCTCGCCCCTGTGGGATACTTGTGGCAATCTGCTCAGATTTCAATTTAGTTGCAAAGAGTTCAGTTTCGTGCAGCGAGGGTTTTAACAGTGCAAATTATGAACCTCTTGAAACTAGACGGTCTGGTGCTAAGTCAGTATTAATGTACAAGATACTTAATAACCATACTGCGCCCGCTCTTCGGGAGTCTTTCGTGAGAAGAGAAATAGGATCCCAAGGCCGAATCGAGAATACCTTAAAAAAGTTTCAAATATAGCCGCGCTATGCTTTGGAATCGGCTCACAAACGAAGCAAAATCAGCTGAGTCGCTCGTTAGTTTAAATCAATTGTTGTTGCACACTGAAATGCATCCTAGTTACCTGTGTGTGAAACCTATACTGTATTCTTATTACTGTCTTAATAATTAAACACGCCCCTTGTGGAAACCAGCCTAGAGTTGATGGGGCTGGCATGTTTCTTGCGATTTCCACGTTTTCATGCGATTTCCACTTCTGTTCGTGAGCTTTCGTTCGTGTTCATAATTTTTTGATTCCTGTTCACTCGTGTTCGTGATCTTTGGTTCGTGTTCATGATTTTTTGACTCGTATTCATTCGTGTTCATATTTTTTTTATTCGTGTTCACTCGTGTTCGTGATCATTGGTTCGTGTTCATGATTTTTTGACCCGTGTTCACTCGTGTTCATTCGTGTTGATGATTTTTTAACTGGTGTTCACAAGCGTTCATATTTCTTGAGTCGTATTCTGACTCGTGTCCACTGGTGTTCATTCGTGTTCACTCGCGTTCTGACTCGTGTGTTGTTTTTGAACAGATCATGGCAAGAATCGAACCTACGCTTTTGCGATGCCGGTGAAATGCCCTTGCCATTGAGAACGTATATTTGACTCATTTTTCCATCCACTGTTCCTGGCTGAATTTGAAGTGTGTATAATACCACTCGAAATTAAGACCTTTTAACCTATTTAATTCTTGATAATACAATCGCGTTCTTTCAACAGCTCCGTTTTAACCGTGTACTTAAGGGTAGACGGCTTGGTAAAGGAGACAATAAAACCTGACACGAGTGGATCATTTTGGTATGACCAAAGCTGGTTCAGGATACTTAGAACATATCATCGTCGTCGTCATCATCATCTCTGCCTTTGTTTTCCTTCACATGTTCACATCGTTTAAAAACTTCTTAATAAGAAACTTTCGCTTATCAACGGCACCTTCTATTGCTTCTTCTTGGTCAAAATCATCATTTGTAATAAACATATTTTCTTATGTACCGGATCTTTCTTCCGTTGTCTCATCCACAAATGGCGCTTTAAATAGATATTTTCTAATTCTTCCTGGAGTCTAGCATGGCATTGAAGTAAGCTTTCTTTTTAGCATAGTGCTCATCAAAACCATGTTTATAAGGCTTTCTTTCATTTCCTCGAATACTGTGTTACTTCTATGTTATGCTTCTTCTATTAACGGCATCCAGGGATCCAATTCTTCTTCACATTCTGAGTCCGTTGTCGTCGAACTTCCAGATTGCTGAGTGGAAGTGGTCGAGACATCATCTTGGAAATCACTTTCTTGACTGTCCGAGTCTGTTTGAGACATGTTTCTTTCTTGTTCTCGTAGTAGGCAATACTCCCGTTCGGGTCTGCGCTGATTGTAACTGCGGCTGAAATATCTTCTGCAAAATTGGCAGCTCATCCCTTAGCACTAGAAGTGTGTAAATGCCTTGTTATCGAGCAGCAACGCAGTTTTATGAGCAGATGTCTGCTCATGTGTAGTTATGAGGATGTGCTAATCTGCTCAACGGTACTTTTTCCTAGTCCAGTACATTCACACAAACTAAAATGTTAGCAATCCCTTATGTACTTTCTTCGTTTCCCCCTAGATAGAGGTTGTTCGTTTGCAGTGCTTAGGTAAACATTAAAGTTTCTCTCCATCTCTTCTTGATAATAAATTTCTCTCCATCACGCTCTAATAAATTTTCCAGACACTCCTCCATATCGAATTCCTTTGGTTCTTTACTCTGTCGAGGTACACATATTCCTTTCTTACTCCACTTTAACCATCTCTTGCGTTCCTCTGTGCCCATATCGTGTACTTGGTCGAGATGATTTGCTAACCTTGCTAAATTTGTACTACCACAGCTAAACACAGGACAGCTCCTACGAGTGCGACGCATATTTAGATGATTGCTCAACAAATTCCTAATAATAATTGGCTCATTTTTTCAAGTCAGGTATTTTAGGCCCGTTTGGGCCCTATATGGCCTTATATGGCACTATTTGGCCCGATGGCCCAATTGCTGCATGACTAGGCGTCCTAACCCGGACAAGTCCGGGCTTTTCAATGCAAACTCTTGCTTACGGAAGAAAAAGTCAAACGATCTAAACAAGAAAACAGTGTAGTGCTCGGACAATATGTTTAAAATATTTGTAAAATTGTTCTACTTAATTACATTGTTACAAGCGTTAATACGTGTCTTAATTTATGCTTCAAGCATCGCGTTGTCCATAACACCAATATATATTTCGATTCGCTCTAAAAATGCACACATTTTCGCATTCGCAATACCCCCCTTTTTCCTCCCTTTGAGGAGTTTGGGCCTGAAATATCTCATTGAGCGGATGAGCATCTGCTCATGAGCATTTATGAGCATGTGCTCATAGGCCCGTTTGGGACTTATATGGCCTTATATGACCCTATTAGGCACGATGGCCCGATTGCTGACTGCATGGGCATCTTAACACCCGAATATGGACAAATATTCGATTAAACATTGGGGAATAAATGTTCCCTTAGAACATTCCTCTGCAACACTGCAAATCTATACGTCGTATACGTACACATCTTTTTATTATATGTATACGAATATAACGCCCATACGATATGTGACCTTCCACGGGAAAACGTACGTTAACGATATTTCGTTGAAACGGCAAAACGAACAGATAACGAACGGGTAGTGAACGATCTGTAATAACGTTTCAACGAACCCAGAAAACGTTTTGACGAATTCAGCTAAAAATGTGAACGTTTAAAGTCGAGAATACGAACGGATAAATAAACGTTTAATCTGGGGCCGGTTGTTCGAAAGGCGTTTAACTTAAACGGCGTTTAACCACTATCCAGCGTATAAATTTATTATCCAGCGTTTAGTTAAACGCGCAATAAAATCGCGTTGCACAAAGCCCGTTTACTAGCGCGTTTAACTAACCGCTAGTTAAGATTACTTTAACCGGCGAAAACCGGTTTTTACCAGTCGTAGTCGTGTCAAAATGGAGGCTAAAAAAGCAAGAAAACCTAGAAAACCAAATTTCTCCACAGCTGAATGCAATTTAATATTGCAATTAGCCGAGGAAAATATAGAGACTATAAGAGAAAAGTTCTCAAACACATTAACTAACCAAAAAAAAAAAGCAGTTTGGCGGTCTATTTGTAATAAAGTGAACGCACTAGGCGTCGCTTTGCGCTCGGAGACTGATGTTCGCGAGAAATGGCGAGCAATGTGTGGAGTGGCTCAGAAAGAAATGGGAAAAGAAAGGCAATCGATAGAAAAAACGGGAGGAGGAAGACCGGCTGCACCGCCCACTTCAACAAGCCAAAGGATAATTGAGATTTTTGGTGATGAGCCTGGATTTTCGGGTATCCAAGGTGGTATCGAGTCAGGTAAGTGTCAAATTGCTCATGCGCCTTGCCCTTAATTATATATTCTTTCATTCACTACAAATTTCAAGTGACGAATTGCGAAGTTTTATTCGGTTATCGTGCTGTATTTTTCTACGCTTTCGTCCTCTCGACGCAATACTTCGCACGATAAATGATAGTTTTGTTTTCGAAAGAAAAAGTATCAATGTCGCTATGACTTCATCTTTCATTGAGATAAGTACAGCTTTTGTACAGCTTTTAATATTATTATGTACGCTCGTGTTTGAGATGTCTCATGACATACATCATGATACTATTTTTATTGTTTGAAGGTCTTTAAATGTGTAATATAATTTTCTATACTCTAATATAAACATAGTATAAACATAGTAAACCACTATATTTTTTAATTATTTTTAAAACGTTGACCATTTTGTGTTCTGTATTTGTAGGAACCAGTTTTACCCCTGAGCCAGAAAGTTTCACAGTTGATAGTTTTGATAGTGTTGGTGAAGAGGCAATACTTCAAGGTGAGACAGTAGAAGTTGAGGTGGAAGTCACTAGTCTTTCTAGTGAAAGTACCACTCCCAAGTCCTCAGATCATCCTGCTTTTGGGGGGCCGAGGAAAAAGAGAAAGATAACTAACCAAGATGTGCAATCAATGCATATTGATGTGCTCCAGTTGGAGAAAAGAAAGATAGAGTTAGAGGTGGAAAACCTAGAGTTAACAAAAATAAAGCTACAACTGGAGATAGAGGAACTCAAAGCAAGGGTTACTAATTTGCATTAATTTCTTACATTGCTCTCACATCAGGTCATTCAACCACCTCAAAGATAAAAAACAAACAAACAACTTTTTTAGAACTTTTTCAAACGAAGTCCCCAAATCACTACTTCATGGTAAAGGTTATTTGCTTGGAACAATCAATTTGCTTGAAATTAATTCATCTTTGAATAAATTCAACCATGCTAGTATATTTCCATAGAAATACCCAACCATTAGCACTCTTTAAATGGATGCACATGTGCGACAACTTAGGTAAAACCTTTCCTACGTACATTTCAAGAGTGTTGATGCCACTATTGCTCTAGTGTGATGCAATACATGCAAATCAAAATCCTCACTTGATCTAAAAATTAAATTTTGATGAATTCACAACAATTTTAACATCATGCATTCATAAATAATCTAAATTATTCTAAATGCATGTACACACTTGTGTATCAGTTATTTAAATTTGTTCTAAGAATATTTACAGAACCATTCTTATGACATGCTCATTGCATGATAATTTAAATTATATTAATTTTAAATTATTGTTGTGCATGTATAAGTTATTTATATAAATAATCAATTATATTAATGAATAAATATTTAAATTTTTATCAAATACAGTTGTGTTAATGTACATATGATTAATTTTGGAATTTTATATGAATAGAATATTATAGGGATACAATTTATGTTTACACTCAATGTACAACAATTTCTAAAATGTTGAACTGCAATAAAGTTTTAAAAGTATGTATTTGCAAGGTGATTCCTCACTGCCTGTCCTGTCTCGACTCCCTCAAAAACTACATTTTCAAATGGCTCTTCTTCTTCAAACTCTGGCAGAGGCTCATTGTTGTCAATGGCTATATTGTGTAGAATACAACATGCAATGGTGATGGTGCAAACTCGGTCTGGTGCCATTCTCACCTCGGAATGTAAAACATGAAACCGACGCTTCAAAATACCAAATGATCTTTTAATGATCGACCTTGTAATCTTCAAGGCCCGATTAAATCGCCTTTGGGATTGTGTTTGTGGATCAAGGTAGGGTGTCATGAGATACGGTAGGCATGCATAGCCACTATCGCCTATGAGCACACCATTCTCAAAATTGGTTTCCTCCAGCTCATGGTTAATATGCGAGGTACGGAAGATGTGACTGTCATGGGTGGATCCAGGCCATCTTGCAACAACATTTGTAAATTTTCCTGCAAGAAAAACTATGTTAAACCCCCTTTATTTCTTCCCAATATGGTGTAAAAATTTAGTCTCTAAATGTCTTGTTATTCTCTCTTGCCCTGCCATTACCCTGTTGCCTTTTTCACACCCTTATGACAGACCCCTATGAGGAATTTTAAGGAACTGCCCTCTCATAAACGAAAATTATAAGGAATTCGTTTGAAGAATTTTTTTGTTTACACTTTACAGTGTTTACATACTGCAGTGATATCAGTCATTGACATTCAATATTAAAAATTTATGGCTTACCTTTGTAATCACAAATGCCTTGAACATTGATACTATGGTACCTCTTGCGATTAACAAAATCCCATTCGTTGTCACTAGGAGCAATTATTCGGATGTGCGTCGCGTCAATACAACCGATCACACATGGAAAATTAGCGATCTCGTAAAAGCCTTGCTTTGTAGCATCGCGCTCTTCTTGCGAATTAGGAAATCTTATGAATTGATCTATTCTCCGTGACAAAGCTACGGTAACCCGACGAATTATTCTACTCACAGTAGACTTATCTAAACCGGCGACTGTGTCCCCTGTAACTTGCTGGAAACTTCCCGAGGCTAGGAATCTAAGTGTTATCAACACTTGTCGTATGGCGGAAACAGGATGGTTACGGTTTGTTTGAGGTTGTATGTCATCTTCTACGAGACGAGTTATATATCTAATGGTTTCACTACCGAAGCGATAGCGTTGTCGTAACTCATTATCATCATAATACAATAGTACGTCGTCTATTTCACGTCGGAAATTCCTATCAGCGTGTCTATTTACTCTTGGAAGCGCGTAAATATATATGCCTGGTAATCTATACAACGCCATTTTATAAATAATTTTTATAAAATTTAAAAAACACAACAATTTATCCGCCGTATAGCGACTTAAACGGTCTCGAGAGACCGTTTAAGTTTATACAGTGGATAGGCAAAATTTAATCGCTGGATAGCGCTAAACGGGCTACGAACAACGCGATTTTTCAAGCGTTTAAATTTTATACGGTGGATAGCGAGTTAAACGGTGGATAGCGACTTAAACGCCTTTCGAACAACCAGCCCCTGAAGCCGTTTGAACGATTTATGTTTATGAACGGTTTTAACGAATTTGTCTGAACGCCTGTTGCGCGTATAATTGACGCAAGATATTATTGACTAATTTATCTAATTAAAAGAATAGGAGATATTTTCAAACAAGTAACATGTGTTGTTCCAAGTATGTGTGTACATAAATAGCTATACCTTCATTTGAATGTTTAACTAAAATTATTAGCTATACTACCTAAATCCCATTATTTTATACTTTATATACATATATACATTGGCGTTTTGCATCAAAATTCGGGTTAATCGTTAGAAAGCCTTCAGTTATTAGTATATATTATCATCGTTATGTCAAATTAATGCATCATCTGCAACTATACCCATCAAAATATTCAGCGCGTGTTCATTTGCAACATCGTTACAGGTTTTGTAAATTTTTCCACGAACAAACTCTATGTATGAGTGGTTAAAGACATATAAACAAAGACATACAGGCGATACAGCATGCATCCGTTTTATTAACACGGCTGTAAACCGACAGTAAACAAAAATTGCCGTCTCAGTTTGGTTGAGTTTCAGCTACTGGATACATACTTTATGTTAAACTAAACACAAGAGATTCCATTGTACACTTTTGTTTATACTCTTTGACGCGCAAACGATTAAATTAATTAGCGCAAGGATCAAGTTGTTTACCGATGATAACCAAACATTAATACAGAATATCGCATACGCAAAGTTCGTTTGTATGCGAACCAGCGTAGTAACGTGTGCTTGCATGCTGTCAAAACTTATTTGGTGTAAATACTACATTAAATATTCACACCATTTACACACATGAAATCCACATTTCAATTTCAGCAATGCATTGCGGTAATAAAATATTTAAAATATAGGCTTGGCGTGCACACAATATGTTCCGTGCAGCAACACCAGTAGCCTAGCTTTAGCCGCGGTCAAGCTTGTCGCGGAATGTCGCCTATACACAGTACTGTCAGTAGCAAGTCACTAGCAACTAAGGGCATCATTACCTTAAGAATATTTTAAAATTTGACAATAATCTATTTTGTCGATTGCATGCACCATCGCTATATTTTCTTCGCAAAGCTAAAGCTGCAATGTCGCTATTTCTGCCGCCATATTTTTTTCATATTAGTTACATATTTTGTGACCATACGATCACATATGCATGTGTTATGATTTCTAACCAGTATAACAAGTCGCTAATTAATACTTGTGATCTAACTAAATTATTGGTGGTCACTATATTCATTCCCCCCATATATTCGACCATCTACATAGTTAACTGTGTAAAAATGCCTAAGCTAACTGCATGAGCCTAACAATAGTGACCTAAAGAAATAGAACGCATAAATTAGTGGGATAATTTTCGAAATCTTCATTTCAAACGACCGCGGCAATCCGCAATCCTAAAGGTCCGAAAATCCGCCCTGCAAAGCAACTTAATACTCAACCCCGGCAGCAAGACAAAAGTGCACATTATTTTTACTAAAGCATATAGCAATAGCACACGGCCCATATAGAAACCGAGTTTTTAAATCACAAAGAGTGCAAATAATTTTTTTCTGCAAAGCTTATAGCAATGCTGCCGCCCATATAGAAACGACAATGCCAAATGCATGCACAGGGGAGTTTATACTCACCATTTTAAGAAACACCCGATCCTTAACATCTTCGAGACATCTACTTGTGACACAATTTGTGCATCCTGCTTACAATAAAATTAACTAATCAAGATTTCCCCAGACAGATGATTAAGGCATGCATCAAAGCATCAATCTATTTTGTCTTGCGAAAACTTTTTATATCATATAATTATATATATAAATATCAAGGTAGCATCTACCCACATATTTTTTGACAAATGTCAGAAAAGTTTGCAAACAATTGTTGTTTCAATGTGAGTAAATGCATCCTATTAAATTGTAACCACCAAGCTAACAACTACTCTAACCTCAGCCAAGCCATTTTAAAGGTCTGGCAACCTTTCATGTCATGTTTATTCGGAATGATTGGATGATCGTGGCCCAACTCGATTCCACCGGCCATGGCAACACTGCAAAAAATGAAAGTCTAGGCCAGATTATTTATCTGATTTTAAGATTTTATTTCTCAAATCAAGATTCCACTCCTTATTTTAAGAAAATTATCTTGTAATAAGATCGTATATCTTGATGAGATCTGTAAAAATACCGATTTTTCTTAAATTAAGGTAAAAATTCTTGACTCAAGATACTTAATCTTGTTTTAAGAATATAAATCTCGCTTGAAGAAAAAAAAAGCATTTATAGTTTTTGAAAGAAAGAATCCAATTCTTAAATCAAGAATTTATTTCTTATTTTCAGAAAGCTATCTTGTTTCAAGAACATTAGTCTTTATGTAAGGTGTTATTTCTTATTTCAAGAAAGCTATCTTGTTTTAAGATAATAAATCTTGGTACAGCGAGCTCAAAATTATTCAATTTCTTAAAACGAGTCATATTTTCTTTTAAAGAGATAATATATCTCTTTTTAAGAACATTAATCATGGTATAAATCCATATTTAAAGAAAGCTATCTTGTTTTAAGATATGTATTCTTATTTAACAGAGTTAAATTTATCTTGTTTTAAGAAATTTGTTTTAAGAAAGTTTAACCAAGAAATTTGTCTTGTTTTAAGAAATTAAATCTTGGTCAATCGGAGCTTAACGACTAACTGTTTCTTAGACAAAGATAATTATTATTCATCTCGGTTTGATAACAAATCTAAAAAATGGCCTCTCCCGTGATGAATCAAGATGTTAAAGCTTGGTTCATCAGAGCTGCAAACGATTTATTTTAGGATGAGTTATTGTTTTTTAGTCAAAGATGATTTATCTTGTCTTAAGAAAATATTATAGTCGATTCCTGAAGGAAAACAGTGTCAGTCTATGTCTCTTATGCCAAGAAAGCTATCTCAGCTTGTTTCGCAGCAAATACGTCTTCGTCTAACAACTGAGAGTCGACATGTATGCATTTCTTAAAACTAGTCACTGTTTCTTGGTCAATGAAAATTCAACTCGTTGCCATTAATACTTTGTGCCTGTTATAATTATTTGCATGGCTTTCTCAGCGTGTTAAATTTCTTCAAGTTATAAAAACTCTAAACTGTATTCATTTATACAAACATATGCACGTATTGAGCAAGGTTGCAAGCCATGCGTGATGTGTGGCACTGACAAAGGTGCAGTACTGCTCAAACCCCACTATATATGGAACAATTTCGCATTGGTCATTAATTTATGCAATAATATAATAATTTTAATATGTCAGTACTGTAAAACAAAAATAGTATGACAAGAACAAATGCATCAAAGTTAAAGGTGAAGTGTATAGAATCCAACATGAAACTGATACTATAATTCTATTGTACAAACCCAACTAATCTTAGATTACGCTTTGTGATCGAATGATCAATTTTATGCGACCTATACTAGCTGTATATAATAAACGATTTAACTACAGTATAGTTCTGTATCAGTTCAAAGTTAAAGTATATAATTGCATTTAGCGATGCAGGGGGTTCTCCCCAACAACATGAAGTCTTATTAGATCCCTCAGGTCATACTTAGTAGGAATGAAAGTGGAATCAAACTGTTTCAGTGTAGAATATACGTTAAAATCCAACATACTTGCGTATAAGCAGAACTTTGTTGGAACACCATCTCCAGGATCTTCAACCTCATAAGACAGAAGGCCATCGTTAAATTCAACTGTTTTCAAAGGTGTGTATTCAAATATAGTATCTTCATCTGCAAGCCAAATTCTCTGAATTCTTCCAAATTCGGGCAACATGCTTGTAAAAGTAGCATCAACTGCAATGATACAGCCCTTATTGGGAACATATTTTGTTCCGTGCAATTGAATCCACTTACATGTAAAAACGTTGGTCAAACTTTCAGGATTGGCGTAAAGCAAGCAGTCAGTAATTCGTTGAAAAAAGTGGGCTTTCAACATATCTGTCACCATACTGGATGGACCAATAACCTTTTCGGACTTAAATAACGGGTGTTGGCAGGGTGTTTGGGTTTCAAAGTCTGCACATTCATCAACCTGGCATCGCTCTGCAAAGAGAGGCAAATGTTCTTGAAGTTCTGTAGTGGAGCCAGGTCTTTGAAATAACGGTGCCTGGCTTCAAAACGTAAACAACAGTGCCTTACAAGTGGACCAAGATACACAATTTGCTGCGGTATGTGGAGCATATAATGCATTTTGGGGGTAATATTCACACCTGGGAACACTTCCTTAAAGAGGATGAGGTTTGCTTCGATTAAAGTTTCCAATTCTTTAATAGTTTCAACACTGATGACTGGTGAAAAGCAGATCTGAACAATCAATGAAATCTGCAATATAAGCTGGTATTGCGGACAGTCATTAGCAACGAAGTTCTTCAAACAAATGGGCAAATACTTCAAGAAGATTCTAGCATGTTCAGCCGTTTGTTTCAGTTTATATTTCTCTTGGCCATTAAACACTGTTTCTCTTAAAGGCGGAGGACGGTTAGCTTCATCTTGGTACCCAAGCTTAAGTTGGCAAAACGTACTGTTCAATTGTTGCAATGTTATAGATCCATTATCAATAAAATATTGCAATGCATAGCGGACTTCGTATTGAACAGACCCTTCCAAAAGGACATGCATTATGTCTTGGGGAAGCTGTTTCGTTATGTCAAATTGAGGTAAGCGGCTCAATACACTTCTTTCGTTAATTCCATATGTGGTCACCAGATTTTTCCTGCTTTCTTCTGTTGGAGCTGTTTCAATATCTTCGCAGTGTTGACGATACTGGACTAAGTTTCTTTCAGTAAAACAGCTAGCCCTGAAATTCTCTTGCATGCTTAGAAATGTACATAAACAATTTCGACATTTCTGGTGAGAAAAACCAACCTTTACTTTGAATCCTCCCCACTGGTGCTGCCCTTCGGTGTCACCAAGGCAACTGACTACGCCACCAAACAACTCCATAAAATTTCCACCTACCACAAATGTATAGCCATTTGCCAGTGTATGTAGGTCATTAATTATTGGGGTTAAAATCTTATTCTGACCGTACATTGAAACATCTTTAGCCTTCACAATAGCCAGTAGCCGAATGGCACAAAGCTTTGACCTATATTTGGGGCCAATGTTTCCAAGTGTATAATAATAAAGATCGATTTTGTGCTTGCCTACATGTGTGCCCAACGGATTGCAGACTTCAATCTCATCATGGTAAAGAATAATTATTAATCCATTTGGGTGCTCTATGAAGATTCTATTGTGCTTTATACATTCACCGTCACAAATGTCAAATAAAAAACCTTCTTTGCATACTTGGCGTGGTGCGGTTATAACATCTGCTATCTTTGAATTTGACAAGAGTTGCTGTAGACTATCAAGAATGGGAATATACACCATTGTGTCATCTTGTTCACAAATAAGACGCTTTGAGCCCTTGTTTTTATATGTGATTCTAGTGGACAGGACATATTGGATTGGTTTGATAAAGTTGACGCTGCTTTCCAAAAATGAAGACTGCAAGTAAGTTGTTTTAAGTTTGCTAAATGGGTCCTCGAAAGAATTGAAAATTTCTTCAACGGATTCCTCAGTCAATTTGTCAGCACCGTTTTCTACACAATTCAATACCTTTTGTTTTAGGTGTTCTTTTACTTGCTCAATTAAGTTGCTAGTACTTTCCACAATCCCATTCAACATTACCTATTTTTAAAGAGAAAATATGATAATAAATAACTATATGTAACACTGTAGAACATGATTTTATATGACAACTTGTGCAAAAAGGGATAAATATTTAGGACTTTTTAATAATGCTGAGATACAAATTAGTCAACCTGGAGAGTTATGTTCAAGTACGTTGAATTTAGCGACTAAACTAAATTTTCAAGGATAGCCCGAACTGTAATGATGAATCTTTTGACATTTGGTAACTCTCTTTTGTAACATTATGAAATATTATTTTCAGGTCCATGTTCAGGTTATTAAATTTTACTAAAAGTTTGTCATTTCTCATGGGTATTGTAGCTTGTCCACAAACTAGTATGTTAACAATAATAACAGCATAATTGAGTTATGCCATATACTGTATAACTCCATCATGTCGTTTAAATTAAAAGGCAACATTGCAGGAATTGCTAAATTAGGTGTAATTAGTTTGAGGAAATTGGGAATTATTTATAGGTACTGTTTGAACTTACACTGTAGCTTGCTGTAATTATAGTGCTGCTGTAAAACTGTAAGGTGCAACAATTGTTTATCCTATTTTTTTCTGTATTTCTGTATTGCCTATTCCAATATTATTTCTTTCTTCCTGTGTCTATCTTTTTTAAGGCATACTCAAGCTGGCAAATATAAGTAAAAAGGGGTAAAAATATATTACTATTTAACTATAAATATATAACAGAAATATTACATTGATATTAAATGGACTTGCAGTGTTATACCAACAATTAACGTTTTGATTCAAAAGAAGCCTTTCATACCTTTGGTATCTTAGACCGTGCTTGAAGTTTAAGCAAGAACTGAGCAGAACATTGCTTGAGGTCTACAGCTTTATCAGTTTGATTGACATAACCTAGTAAATGTGCAGTTATTGAGTAAGAATATACAAAAAGTTAAGGTAAGGAAATAGAGCATACATGTATGCTGCAGAATTTATCCTACAGTACCCTGTAGATTTTAGAATTGCAAACTCCATAATTCATGGTCTCTCTTAATTCAGTTTTTCATACTCAGGCATATTAATGAAATGGGGATCCAGCTTAATTTCCTATACATATGGTCCCTATTTGCTGAGCTAAAAACAAGGTTTCAAAAAAAGTCGAACAAATTCATTTTAGTATGCAAAAATGACATCAATTACCACAGGGATAAGAATTGGGGAAAGGACTAAATGAGTAAATGTGGTAAAATGGTAAAATGTGCCCTTCTGAAAACATGCCAAATATGTAAAATATGTTTATAAATTAGCCTGCATTCATGAAATGGAAAACCCCTATTAAAATGCATGAACACCTGTGAACTTACTGTACCTCAACAGTTGGGTTGTCATCCTCGCTATCAGTATCAGTCGACGTTTCCGAAGAGTTGTTGCTACTCATTTCAAGTGTATGGTTGTCTCCCTGACTGTCGTTTGGCAGCAAATTGGATGTCTCATCAGCAGACATTTCCTCCTCGTGTTTCCGATGAATGTGTCTTCGGAAAGAATTCATTTTATTATACTGCTCTGGGCATCCATTGATTCCACATTTAATCTTAAAATTTGGATGGGATGCATGTTGCAAAGTAATATGCCTTAACAAGGCCTTCAGCGTCAGTGCTGAGAAAACAAAACAAATACAACATAACCACACGTTCGACATATTTAGTTAATTTTCCAGCCACAGTTCAACGCAAGAAATGAAATGCCATGCCCATGATTTGTATTTGGCGCGAAGCCGCGAGCAGTGGCTATAACAGCCATCACTCAAAAATACTCGGGAAATGTCGGACATGCTTCGTGACCAGTTCGCCCTGTTCGTGACCCGCTTCGTGACGTGTACAAAATCACGCCACTAACAGTGTCGCCATCCCCTTTTTAAACTGAGCGGTTGGTGTGAGAATATCACTGGAAAATATACATTATTCAACGTTTAATCCTTTGTAATCCGACCCTTTAAAGGAAATTTAAGAAGGTAAATATTTGACCTTTTGTTAATATTAAAAGTAGTCTTTTATAGTCAAGTGTATTCAACACCGAATTACGAATGTTTATTGAGATTTGAGAATGAACGCTATAAAAGTCGCACGCTGGAGCCGGATCGGAACATTCAAGTATTGTCAAAAAAACAAAAGAACGGTAACTCCGAAAAGCATTTTGTATAATACTGACGACGACTAAAGTGCAGTCGAAACGTGGATTCATTAAAGCTACAAAATGTATTTTCGGAGTTACTGCTCTTTTGAATTTTATAAACATGCTCAGTGGTTCGTGTACTTATATATTTTCATGTTCCATGTATTTTGCGGTGTTCAACATTTAAATGAGCTGCCAAATTCCAATATCACAGTTAGTTTACTGTTCCAGAATGTAATGATAGTAATGTACATTTGAAGTTCCAAAAACTGCGATATTTGGCATCCTTTTATTCTAGCTTTTGTATTTTTTTAGGGTTGGGGATAAAACAACTCCCGTAGGAATAGCGCGAATCGATTACAGGTAAAATGGTAGCGACTTCGTATTATTTTCTAGTCCTATTTAGCCAATTTAAACTACCTGGAGCAGAAAATTTTATTAGGAATTTTTGTTTCGAGTTCGTCAGATACTACTTTTCAAATACTGGAATATGGCAAAAATACTGATTTTCTAAACTTTTTTTGTACAGGGCCAAGCATGTCAATGGAAGACATAAGGAAACTGGACATCGAGGCTTATGATATACTTCAAGGTACTGCAGAATAGAAGTTGTTAATTGTCTCCCTATTTAATAACTCCCTATTTTGCTCTTGTCTGGCCGACACTCATTCATAACCCCCAAACCTGTGGCTGCCATCCTGGATCGACTGCTCAGTTTAAAAAGTATTTGCATGAGAGTTAAAAAGTATATTTTGTTCTTGAGCTAGGATCCTATTCCAGCTCAGCAGAAATTGGCTCAGCACAAAATAGAAACATCTTCAAGTAATCCGTTGTAATTTAATCCGGGGAAAAAATCAATAAATACTCTACACCAGCTCATATTAATTTGAAAATGTTATATAGTTTAGACGTACTTGGGAAAATTTCTGTAGTATTATGGGAGTATTAAACCATACTGTAGGTATGTTTCACTTCTGTGATACAAGCAGCTGCAACTCATGCAATAAAATCCTTGTACTTTTGGTGTGATTTTGCATTTAGTTATACTTATCATGCAGTATGTACTGGGAAATCAATTACCATTTTTATCACTTCATTGAATTAATTAAGGCTAATTTCTAGGGGGTTAATGGGTCTTTTGAGTGGAAATCACACTCATATCAAATTCATAATCATACTTTTATTAATTTGCTACATGCCAGTGTTAATGAAGATATGTTAATGGATTTCAGTCGGGATGACCTAAAAGACTTGTTTGCCGGTGCAGATAAATTTTTGTTGAGAAAAAAGATTTGGAATATTATTGAGAAAGCTGTAAGCTACATTCAAAGTAAAATTATATATTTTTGTTTCATAAGCATGCACTGCATCAAAGTAAAGTTAATTAATCTATTTTTGTTCCTCGAAGAAAAATTATCAGTTTTTCAATGTAATTCTTGTTATCAGCTTGCAAATTAACCGCTTGAAGTTATTCATAGAATAGCTGTCTAACGTACAAAAATTGCTATCTGAATATAATTTTTAGAGAGGATGTAAAGAAAAAATGTTAGAGTCTCCTAACTCTGCAAAAGTAAAGATTAATCAAACCCCAGTGGTAAATCCTCAAACTCCTCCTGTACAAAAACATTTGGGAATTTCGCAGTCACAACTATTGCGTTCACCTTCTTCCTGGTTGAAGAGTCCCCCTAGCCCTGCAAGTGTTGACCTAACTTCAAGTCAGGTGATTACCCCAGCACCTTCTCCGGCCTTTGTTGTATATACAGATAACGAAATTGTCTGTTCAGCCAAGACTGGTGATATTTCGCAAGATCTGTTTAATAGATTGATACGAAATACTGTGTCAAATATGCGATCAGCCTGTCATAGTTTACCTGTACCAAGGGAGCCAACATCCCTGGAAATGGGAGAAATGGCCAAGGTTCTATGTCAAAAGTATCCCTGTTTAGAAAGAGCTTCAGAGTTGACAGGAAGTGAAAGCGGTCATGTAAGTTAGACAGATTAAAAATTTAAAAGTGCAAAATAAAATTGGAAGAGGGGGGAGTTCCATGCCACAAGCAAATGGTTCATAGTAATATAGTTAGCTTCTGGTAGAAACTTTCTGTCAATTTTTAGATAATTATTTTTATTTTACATAATTAAGTTATTCATGAAGGAGTTGTTTACCCACCTAAACCTATCTATTACTATGAGCGACTCCTGCCTAGCTACTATATAGTTTGCCGATTATACTGAGATAAATGTTGTTTTTAATTTTGTAGCTTTTTGTGTTGTCCAAAATTAAAAAACGTCTTGGAAATGTTGTCCCAGCTAAGAAAAGGCAAGGAAAAGTGCCTGCGAGATCAAATAAACGTATTAAATTAGACATGCCTGAACTTGGTAAGTTAATATATAACCTATTTGTTTGTCAGAGTAACCCATATGCATGTCATCGTCATTTGATAAAGTTGGAAAACTTACTAGTACATGCAATGAAACAGCTCTTGGGGCCTGAAATTACAGTAGCAGTATTCTGCTAAAAGATGAATTTGCAAACTATGGGTTGCCAGGGGGCATTGATCCCCTAGCCTAGACCAGGAAGGGTGCAGGTTTGGGTATAAATTCAAATTTTGGGGGATTATGTACGAAAATCAGAGCTTAAATGATGTATTTTGTGTATTTGAGAGTTTCACAGGCTCTGACAATCTGGTAGCACCTTATCCTCCAATTTATATATAAATTTCTAATATCCTAATATCCCTGACAACTGGTGCTTGTACCTCAACCCATGTCCAGCACTTGTCTGCACCACCCCCCCCCCCCCACAAAATCGCTCTGGATCCATCCTGGTTCTACTTTTGCACTCACAGCATAATATAAGAGGATTGATGTGCCATGATTTGCCCTATGTTATTATGACTTTCCCTGTGTTGTACTGGCATCTAATGGGTTAAATTGCCTAACTGCCCTTGTGGCTGGTGAATGCTTTGCAATTAATGTATTGGACCCCATAGTAGAACCTGTTACACTAGTCATTACCGCATGTACAGTATATCCTGAAATTTTTAAATGCTTAAAAGCATTTAATGCAACATTTTTGTGATTTCCTTAAGTTTACACTATATGCGTCAGTCCACCACTGTGAAACTCCTTTCTTATGATAATTAAAAAAAGAAAAAAAAACACAAAGCATATAATTTCCGATTATTGTCCACAGTATAAAAGCATGAAAAGTCAATTTATTCAATTCAGTATAACACTCATTATTTAGGTGATTCGAGTGATCCTTTGAAAAAAGGGTCAGAGAGTGAATCATCATCTACTGAGACAACAGACGGATCTAATGAAGACACCGGTCTTTGCGCAAGGCATTACAGTGCATTAGAGAGAGAACAAAGGAAGTGTAAACCTAACCCAAAGGTGATTAACAAATATTTGAATCTAGAGTTCTCGTCTAGAAGGCAATTGATTCAAGAGACGAAGAAAGATGAGAGGCCAAGCAAAATACTGGAGCTCTACCCATGTTTTAAAGATCCTAATGAGGTAAATGTAGTTGCAGAAATGTATCTTAGCCTGTTGTCCAGGTTTGAATACACATGACATTTGTGTTGCTGAAAATATTTGTTAACCATTTAATTAATTGTGCAAATCCGTATTAAATGTTTTGCATCCATTAATGTTTCGTCTAAAAGATAATAAAAAAAATATTGCCTGTTTTGAAATATACAGTACATGTTTTTGCTTTG